CAAGGTTGCTGTCGACGATCCACGCTTCGGCGCGGACCGTGTTGGCGGCCAGCAGCGTTCGCTCGCCAGTCACAACGTTGATACGGTAGACGTCAAAGAGCTTCGGGTCGCGGTCGTTGATGCCGATAACGACGTCGTCGGGGAAGCGCTCGCTCGTGAGCCGGTTGATGTGGTTGTAGAACGACGTCATTGGGAACGTGGTGAGCACTTTGGCGTCTGCGAGCGGCGTGAGGTTGGTCGTCGTCGCCGTCGCAATGTGAACGGCGAAGAGATGGAAGCGCTCGTTGCCGTCCTCGTCCTGGACGTACAGCACATGCGTGCCATTGGTCGCCCAGCGAAAGAACCGAATCGGGCGCTTCGCCTCGGTCGTGAGCTGGACCGCCGTGGCGCTACCCGAGCTGGGCCGCACGAAGAGGTTCATGATGCCATTGCTGCTCGGCGCCAGGTACGCGAGGTGGGCGCCGTCCGGCGAGACGCGGGGCGACGCATACTCGGTCGGACCAAAGAGCACTGGGATCGGTACAAGCGGACTCTCCATGCGGATGCTTGCAAATCACGAAGTGCGTCAGGCAGTTACGATGGACCACGGTACATTTTGCTTAATATGACATACAAATCCCTTTTCTATTTTTTAAATTGGTTGAAAGGTTTATCATATTCGTCTCAATTGAAGTGCGAAGTCCACACTGGCGGCAATGAGAGTTGGCAAAAGAACTCGATTGTGCATCGACCGTACATGACCAAGTAGGATGACATTTTGCTAAGCTTAGGTGGAAGCCAGCCAGGCAACGTCCATTCCATGCACCCTCCTAGATGTTGTGGCGCCAAGGACGCCGACACCCTGCTTGACGGCGTCTGCACGGCCAGGGGTAGCCGTAGACACTAACCATAACGTCAACCAGCGTACTTACCCTCGCCAGTTGTCCATTAGGTACCATGCATGTGAGAACTGGAGTCCAATGCGGCACATCGCCCCCGATCGGTCGTCATGGACGATCTCGAGATGCTCCACTGTCCATCATTCAGCCATTACCTGCATTCTTGTGTTCGGCCAGGGGGGGTCCCAAAACGCAAGCATATATTAATCAAGTGTATGTATGCCACACGTGCGCCCGTTTGCATGGGGCCCCTGCGCAATAGACTTCTCGCCGGTGATTGGTGCGACGCGATTGCTTGCGCGTGATTGGTCTGTTTTTGCATGGTTGGAGGAGGGACCTTATTATTGTACGATGGCCGCCACGGACGCCCAAGTGAAGCACGGTACGACCTGACGTAGCTCGGGTGGATGCTCATGGCCTCTGTAGAAGCTGCTGCCGACGAGGAGCACAGCCTCCAGACGGGCTGGTGCTTGTGGTATGACAGCCATGCGTATGTCGGCCACTGCTCATGCCCGAACGTAGGTATGACCGCAAGCTGCCCAAGCGCACCGACCTCGAGTACGTACTGATTGCATGCTCATTCGAGGCTCATGGCGGCGGTTAGCACCTACCAGTCGAACTTGCAGAAGATCGCTGCCTTTGGCACGGTCGAAGACTTTTGGCGGTACGATGATTGCGCGATGGACGACGTGGGCTCATGACGTTCTGGTAGCCACTATGTGCACGTGAAGCGCCCGTCGCAGCTCAACAAGGACACGAACCTGTACTTGTTCCGCGATGCGCCCAACTGCGCGCCGATGTGGGAAGTGCGTCATCGTCTTTGTTGCCATTGATTGGTATCAACGAGTGTCGATAGGCCTTCCCGAACGGCGGCTGCTGGATCCTCAAGATCAAGAAGAAGGCCAACGTCCTCGGTAAGATGTGGCAGGACCTCTGCTTCGCCGCGGTCGGCGAGGCGTTCGAGACGCTCAATGTCGTTGGCATTGCCATGGCGATCCGCTCCAAGGAAGACATGATCTCGGTACACATGATGGACTTCCTTGACACGTTTGCAAGCGACTGCGAGTAGGTCTGGAACGCCGACAACACGGACGACAGCGCTCGGTTCGCGATCGGGTACGTCCCTTCTACCACGTCCCATTCGACATCTTATATGTTTGCAGCGAGAAGCTCAAGGAGCTCCTCATGCTCGACTCCAACACGCTCATCGAGTACAAGTTCCACTCCAACTCGATCCGCGACATGTCGACGTTCCGCAACGCCAAGCCGTACGTCTTCTCTGCGTCGAGCTAAGCGCACCGCGCAACGACAACGGACGACGGGTGTGTTTTTTGTGCGACTGAAGTGTCAATGCACGCGCAGTAGTAATAAAGAAGATGCCTGCTGTCTCGTGTTGTCTTGGTTGCCATGCATAGAGCAGATGAGCTCACTGCAATGACAGAATGGGAGTCCATCCACATGCTCAGGTTGTACCTCTTGCGTGCATGCACGACACACGTCCATTATCATCGATGCTGCGGGCTCCGCGTACTCGCTCCCTGGTCTCGTCGGATATGCGTACAGTGTGGTTGCTAGTGTCTTAGATATTTGAGCATCTTGGTTGTGAACGTGACTTTGGTGATCAAGAATGGTTGCATCCAGACGGGTATGGGAGTCATTTGCGCGTTGACAGCATCGAGGAACGCGGATATCGCTGTTATGTTCCACTCGAAGAGATGGGTAATGCTGTTGGTCTCTTCGACGACGTCGTCGACCTCATCATTGTCCGAGTTCTGTTGTAGCTAGTAGAGAGATTTGAGATTCGGTGAGCTGGGAAGGAAGGCTTACCCACACACTCAACTTCACGACGTTCTTTAACTGCAGCAGCACTTGAAGAATATTGTGGTCGACGACGGCAGCCCGGCAGTGCTTTTCAAGTGGAACATGACAGCAATGGCAACGTTTCTTGACGCTCTCAACGCCCAGATTGCTGCCGGCAACCATCCCACCCCTGTCTGGATGCGAGCGCAGTCCCACATCTTCACCTTTGTCTCGTTCACCGACGACGTGTTCGAGCACCTCAAGCCGAACGCTCCCGCTCACCGAGTGGCGCCGGTCTGGATCGCACCCAACTCGCTTGGAGATTACCACCATATTGGCGTTTGACTGCGCGATGTTGAAGTCCATCCGCCTATCCAAGCGGTCATGGCGGCGGTGCCAGAAGGTCAACACTTGGCCGAGACGTTTCATTTGACGGGCAAAGCCCACCAACCTCGCCTCATGGGCGGTCCATTGGGTCGCGTAGCCCCTCCGGCGCCCTTGCGCCGTGTGCTTTGGTAAGGTTGTCGACTAATGTGATGATGGTTTAGTAGCGGTTTTATGAATGCAATGGGAGCATCGATGCACACACATGACGGTTGTAGCTGCGTCTTTTGCGAAAAAATCAATCGTCATGTTGGTCGACGCGATTAAAGGAACACGCGGCGCAACGGCGGCGGTGGGGCGTGGCGGTCATTCGGGTGGATGTGGTGACTCAAGGTCACGTGGTACGTCTCGGCCAAGCAATTGTCCAATGGCATGGCCGCCATGGCCGCCTGGATAAACGGATCGGCTTCGACTTCGCGCAGCGCTGCCAAAATGGCCCCGTATTCTTCAATGGTGTTGGGTGCAATCCACCCCGGCGCCACGCGGTCGTCGGCGGCGTTGGGCTTGAGCTGTTCGAAGAGATCGTTTGTCAACGAAGTGAACGAGACGTTCGGAGGCAGCGTCTTCATCCAGAACGGGGGGACAAGGTTGCCACCGCTCGCTGGAGCGTTGACAGCGTCGAGGAACACTGGCATGTCGATATCGTTCCACTTGAACAGAAGGGCGAGGCCAGGCTCGTTGTCCTCCGAGTCTTGTTCCACCTAGACAAAGATATAGGATCTCGTGCATGTCGGGAAGGAAGACGTACCTCCGGAAGGGCCTCGTCGACGAGGTCCATGTTGCAGCCGGTCATATGAAGGGCCTGCTTCGCGGGCATCTTCGCCGACATCTCTTCATCCGGCGTTTGCATCTTGCCGAGGGTAGCTTGCATCTTGCCCAGGGCGGCTTCCTTCGCGAGGACGAGTGTGTCCATGCTTGCTTCCTGCTGGAAGATTGTTGTTGGGATCTCTTGATACATTCTTGCAGGTATATCATTTGATACAGGTTCAAGATACCTTGTTCTCTCTGCATTTGACAGGTTATGTGTTTGCATAGGTAATTCCGGCACTCACATCAATCAATCACACGTCGGCCCGCCTGACCACAGTACTCTTAGTATCGCTGCTTGGGCTTAGTATCGAAATATCTAGAATGGTGCCATGTAATTGGACGCCGCGGGCTCAATGCAGCCGCGTAGTGTCTTTGAAAGAGCTGGCTGGGAGATATTGTGAGTCTGCTGGAAATGCGTTGAATAATCTGGTGGTGCAACGATGTGTGGTTCAGCATCGCTGCGTTTCCGTCGTCAGTGATTTTAGCGTCTGGGTCGCGTGGCTGGCAGCGGAGCTTGATGACGCTGCAAAGTACTATCCTCGTGCCGACAGCTATTTAGTGCTAGAGCGTGACACATTGTTATGGGCTAGTCTCTCACTAGCGCGGGATGCATCGTCTTGCATGATACGAGAGAATTTCCGTGTGACGCCACGATGACCGCATTGGAAGTGCTCGAAGGCAGAAGGCACGTGCAGTTTCTGGAATGGTGCATTCTCATACGTTATCCGGTTTTGTATCCGGATAAATGTGTTGCAGGCGC